TTGCCATTTTGATTCAGAATAATGTTTTGTATAATACTTTCTATTGTCTTTTATTTCACACAAGAGTCATTTCATGTTTGAAATATTTTCATTTTCCACTTTTTTTAAACGTTTTTAGAACAATTTGTAGAACATTTCTGACAATTTGTAGAACATTTTTAAAACAAAATGACAACAGCAGCAATTTTACAACAACAATGATGAAATGTCAATAATGGACAATGTTAACATCCATTATGTGTGTGTGGGTGTGTGTGTGGGCATGGGGGGGCTGCAAAAGAGCACGTTTCCTGAAACTAGCTAGCTAACCAGGCTAGCTAACATTATGCTATGTGTATCACGCATGTGAGTGTGTGTATGTGTATTATTTATCCATCCATCCATCCATCCATCCATCCATCCATCCATCCATCCATCCATCCATCCATCCATCCATCCATCCATCCATCCTCAGTTTATCTGGGGTCGGGTCGCAGGGTTAGCAGCCTAAGTAAGGAGGCTCAGAGTTCGCTCTCCCCAGCCATTTGTTCCAGCTCCTCTGGGGAACCCATGGCGTTCCCAGACCAGCTGAGAAACATTGTCAGCGTGTCCTGGGTCATGATCTCATTCTTTCGGTCATGACCCAAAGCTTATGACCATAGACGAGGGTAGGAACTTAGATCAACTGTTAAATCAAGAGCTTCGCTTTTTGGCTCAGCTCTCTCTTCACCACGACAGATCGGTATAGCACCGCTTCACTGCAGACGCTGCACCAATCTGCTCGTCGATCTTCTGCTCCATTTTTCCCTCATTGGTGAACAAGATCCTGAGATACTTGAACTCCTCCACTTGGGGCAGGACATCCTCCCCGACCCAAAGAAGGCACTCCATACTTTTCTGGCTCATTTATTTATGCATTTATTTCTATAGCTATGAATTTTTATTTTATTGATTGAGATGATAAAAGAAGGAACCTTGAACACATTGATCAACAGGTTTTGCATGTCATTCAAAACACTCTCTCTCTTGGTTTTCTCATCCAGGGTGTCAGACACACACAGAGACACACACACAAATAATACACATGCACAATAAAGTATAGGTGGTAATGTTAGCTAGTTGGTTAGTTAACTAGTGTTGGCTAACTTTGAAGAAGGCTAATATGTTGATTTCTGACATTAACGCTGTCAGTACTCATGATTGACACACACAAACACATTTGTGAGATAAAAAATAAAGATAATTCTTGCTTTGTAAAATAATATTATTCAGGGGTGACAGTTAGGTCTCAGTGTGTTTGGTTCACAATACAAGTTTTCCTGACAGTCACAGTTGGTAAGAAACAAATATTCCCATTAAATTCCATAGGAAATGAATGTGGGTCATTTTGGACCCACTCACGGAAGAATGGGGTAGTGACATAAAACATGCTATTTCTTAAAATGTACAAAAGGTAAATAAAAAAATTGAATTGCATGATATCAGTAACATGTTTCTTGAGGAATACCTGGAATATGAAGTGGTGAAAATTTTTCATTACAAAGATATTGCAAAAAGATGACCTCACCGGGTCAAAAAGGACCCAGTTACGCATCAGAGGGTTATGGTGGAAAATCTGTTTGAACAGTTGGAGTCAGACTTTAGAGATCGCCAAAATGTATCCCTCAGCTTCAGATCTCAATGCTTTGCTTGAAACAATTGATACTCATGCTTTTGTATGCTTCAACATGCTGTTGTAATCAATAAAATCCTCTTTAAAAGCTGGTTTAGAACATTTTCCCTGATTAATTCATGTAAATAATAAATCCCCCTCAGCTCGTCCTCTTTTTAAAGCACGTTCAATGATATTGATGTCTTCACTACAAAAAACATCAATATCTAATTGATTTATGTAAAATGTTATGAGGCAAAGTGTTGCTCTTCTTCATCAACAATTACAGCCAGGTAGAAATGTTTGTAGGACACCAGGCTTTGTGAAATTTCTGCCTGGGTGCATTGCATTTTGGTAAGAAGAGTCAGGAAATCATGGCTCAGTGTGTTGATAAAATATTAAATACTTTATCACATCAGATTATTAGCGTATAAATATTTGCCCTTTCAGCAGGTGAAATGTCAAAGGGTGCATGACCTGTCACATCAAATTTTGAAACAAATTATTTTACCGACATCCAGCTTTTTCTCACTTAACAGCTTCAGCAACAGGACATTTGACATTTTGGCTGTTAAATTGGTGTTTACAGAATCCTGTTAAAACGTATGAGACTTACTTATGCATAAAGATATGTCCCTCCTATTTAGGTCGAGAGCAGTCTGTAATTCAACACAGAACTCCAAAGACATTGCAACGTTCACCAAAATCCTGGACAGTCTCCTGGATGGGTATGACAACAGACTCAGACCTGGCCTTGGAGGTAAGATGCAGGAAACTGAAGCAAGTAGTAGCAAATCAAAGCAAAGCATCACAGACAGAAACTGGAGAAATTTCAAGTTAATGTAACTCTTCTTTGGACCAAATGTAGCTTATGCATACCTTAGCATGATGCTTCCTCAGACATGCTTGATAGTTGATAGTGTTCTTTACTTTGAAAGAACCACATGGCTTTTTTTTAAAAAACGGTACAAACAAATAACCTTTAAATTGCCTGTTAATCAAACTTGTGTGGAAAACATTTGTCTCGCTCATGTGGCCAGCTGTAACTTTTATACCCAAGTTTAATAGTCAAATGAGACAAAAACTGACCAAACTGGTTTTAAAATGAAAAAGTTAGGCTAACGTGAAGCTACTGGAATGGCGTTTAAAATGTTCTGGCTAAATCCGGTTGACGATTTGTAGACAGTCTCATGCAAAAAACACGTTGATGGCCAACGTTCAACTTGGTAAGAGATACTATGTGTACACCAGAGAAAATGTACAATACATCTTTTTTTTGCACTCAGTTGTTTTGATCCATAAATGGTGGCAAATGTATAACAATTTTATCCTGAAAAAATGAGTCATTAAATGCCCAACATTTCTTTCTTTCTTTATTTTTTTCATGACAAAATCACCTCTGATGCAACAATTTCAGTTGAGAAGGATTTTGTGTCTTTGTTAACTTTGACTGAGATTAAGCCCATAGTGAAGAACACTCACTATGTTCTTCACTATTAAGAACAGCATTACTCATAAAAAAAATAGTCTGCTTCTAGCTCTCAAGAAATGTCTCCCTAGTACAACACTCAATATTCAAATAATTTGATACTAAGATCAAATTTGTAATACAGATCAGAAACAGTATTTTGAATCTACTGATCTCAGTCACTGGGGACAAAAAGGACATTTTAGATGAAAATGTAAATTATGAGAGGATGCCTGTTGTGTGGTGGAAGAGCATACTGCAGTTCATCCTCCTTTGCGCTACAATGAAAGGATCTGTGATACCGTCAGAAAATGCCTTTATGCCCCTGTCAGCTCTTTAAAGACAGCATTTTAAAAATAAATCTGCCTGCAGGTGAACCTATTGGGCTCTCTGCAGCTGTGAGTGTAATGAGCTACGCTTCTGTGTATCTGAAATCTGAGTAATCTGTTCAGTGAGAACATCCGTCTGGGTTGGAAATAATAAAACACATTCACAGGGGCTGGTGGACTTTGGGCCTGGAACGATTGAGCTCATTTGGTTCGAACAGTTTCTCTTATTGAACTCGATGTCTAAGATTTGATGCTCTGGAAACAGAAAAACAGGGATAAATGAGGATCACTGACATCTCTCTGAAGGCAAAGAGAATTGGATTTAATGCATGGAGGCAACAGTTTAACTAATAGGCAACGTGTAAAGACAATTGATAACGCCGGATTTTAGCTCGGGGTGTAACAGAAAAGACTGAAAATTTAATTTGCACACCACATTTTAGATTTAATTTTGGAAAAAAAAAGAAAAACATGTAGAATTTACTTCCAATTTAAAATGATCCACTCCATTCTGTTAGTTTACCTACAATCCCAACACAATACATAAACGTTGATGGTAGTAACATGAAAAAATTTAAGGCGTACGAGTAATTTAGCAAAGCACTGTATGACATTGACATTATTCTGGCAAGAAAATGAAAAACTGTGAAAGACTGTTCATGTCGTAACATCTAAAAATACAATTTTGTTTGAAAAAAATGTAAGCAGTGTGATTGGACTATCAATCTGATTTTATTCAGACTGTTGGAGTCTTAATGTCACCTTAAGCACCACTATGGACTGATTGCAGTAATAAAACTCTTCTAATGCTGTGATCCTTAAAAGATTTATTTAATTTGGGCAACTGAAATTTTTCCTAACAAGGTTGTATAGATGTAATAAAATGTCACACAAGTTTATAAACGTGACTAACAATCCAGTGAAAATAGAGAGGAGAGTCCCACTGAGTCCTACCTGTGTCCTGACCGTATCTGTGGAGCAGTCCCGTCTCTTTGCCTGCGAGTTTGCCTGACTAAAATTCATGAGCTTTTTTTTTTTACTTGTAGAACAATTTAGACTGTCTTTTGTGTTGTCTTGGGGGGTTTATTTTTGCTCAAGCTTTTGAATGCATGATGTATGGATGGTTGAAAACCTTTGGAACTTCGTTGTCTGAGAATTTTCAATTGTTTCCCCTTTCCAGACCGAGTGACAGAAGTAAAGACAAATGTCTACGTGACCAGTTTTGGACCAGTATCTGACACAGATATGGTAAGTCTTTCAACGCTAATATTGTACTACGAAACACAAAGTTTTTTTTTTTTTTTTTTTTACTTTTAATCATCACTAAAAGAGTCACAGGTATAAAACTAAACAGTGTGCCCAAGCAGAGTTAACTGCCTGAGGAAACTGTTAATTGTCTCTGTGGTGCAGGCCATAAAGAGTATCTGTGTCCTTTATTAGAACCGTCTTACCACAATCAACACAAGCTGTTGTTTGTCGAGAAATTCTGCTTTTGGTTCAAATAATCCACTGTAAATCTCCCGCCAGTCTTCCTGAGCCAGTTTGGATGTGATTATTCACATTCAGATAAAATCTTCCAGACTGAAACACAGACAGAGAGAGCGGTAGCTGCCTGTACTGCTGGTCCTGTTGCCATTGGAAACTCAGCCAATCCAATCAGAAGAGCGTCGACATGGCAAAGGTTAGAGTGTGTTATTAAAATGATATCTGAACATCAACCTCCATCCAGCTCTGGTACACAGCTGCTGATCTGTCATATATTAATATATGGCCGGTCATTATTGTTTACCAGTTGCAAACCTGCTGCGTGGTTTCGTCTAAGCCTGACACAAACAAACAGATTTGTTTCCAGTCGGATGCAGCTTTTCATTCAAATTTCTCAAATGTTTTTTTGGTTTTCTGTCAAGGCCCTCTGGAGATCTTCGCTCCTCAGAGACTTAGAATTTCAGGGATGCAGATTTTATTCAAAGTTCCACTCATCCCAACACTTTTGAATGGCCTCCTGGAATGAAATGTAAGAATTGGTGCATTTCAACAAGTGAAAACATGAAGTACCTTAGATTCAGATTCTAGCAGTGATTTCAAGTATATTCTTTTTTTGTGATTTGACTGATAACATGATTTGAAACTAATGCTGAAAGTTACTTGGCTTCCAGTCAGGGAGACCCTTCACTTTGCAGTTCTATTTCATAAAAATGCATAAAAGCCATCCTTCCTGCCTTAAGAGCCTTTCTTTTTGCTTTCCGCTACAATCTGAGCCCATTCTCTGAGCCCACCTGGTTCTCCTCAAATATTTAAGTGACACAGAGCACAAAGATGGAAGTGGCTGTGTTTGAGGCTGCACCTTCAAAGGAAGAAGAGTGTCTCATATTTAATACATGCCCATGTCTCCATCAAAATTGCAGCAGATAATTGCACTCCAGCACTGTGTGTGTTTCCTCTCTGTGTCTCTGATAGTTGCGCTCTGATACACATCCTTCAGATTGGATGCTCCCCCGCTGATCTTTCTGCATGATTGTTTGTGGATGTTTGTCTTCGCTGGTTTATTTGAGCTCATCAAAAAGCAGACATGCAGAGTTGCTTTGGAAAGAAAACCAGGAAATTGCTGCATTTTCTCAGTGACACAGGGATGCCTCTGCTAATTACATAGCTGAGGCTCTGTGGAAAACAATGCATGTTAAATGTATACTTACAATATATACACTGAAGAGAGGAGAGCTGTGTGGTTGGGGGATATTTTTTTATCTCAGTGAACAACTATGAACATGCTCAGTCATCTCTAAGAAAAAAAATGCCTTCAGTATTTGAATTGGTAGCAGATGATTTAGAGGCAAAATCTTGTTTATCTGATGATAACACATACTTTGCCAACTGTGTAATACCATATGAACTCATTTTTCCATTAAAACCTCATTTTTTTCAGACTGGAGAACTAGTTGTACACAACCATGTATAAAAGAAAAAGTCAGAAATTTAAGGTAATATTTTAAAATCAAGACTCTCAAAGCTGCATAAAACAACCAACACCTCTGACTGTGGGGACAGTTTTGTACCGAAGTTTGTCTCTGAAAGTTACTGCTGGATCCGATGGAGCCATTTGAAAACACAGTTAGTTCCTGCTGAAGTACTGTGGACTAGTAAGAGGAAACAGAGCGAACTGGAGAAGCTTCCACTCAGATGGAGGGGAAGGTCTCTGTGATTTTGATGCAAACCTGGGATGGCACTCGCCTCAGGCATCAGCTGGATCTGACACTGACAGATGTGGCTGGACCCACCCAGGTGTCACACGCCGTCAAGCTGCGATCTCACGATAAGCTCAGTCATGACAGAACCGGACAGGAAGGACATTATCAACATTATAAGATCAGGGTGTAGTTTGTTATTTTGGGTCAAAGTGGACCATCTATAAATTCTAAAAGGTTTTAAAAATCCATGTTACTAAAAATGTCTACTTTTTTTTGCATAACTGTTGAAAAAATATGAAAATTGTTAGATTGTTTTCAGGAACATAGTTGCAAACCTTTGAGTTTAAACTGAATGAGATCCAGCATGTTTGTCAGGCTTCTTGACATTTTGCTGCTATTGCTAAACTGTTTCATTATGCAGGTCTTCCTTTGTTGGTCGCTCAGAATATTGTGCCTCAGTAAAACCCAATTGCCTCTGCGCTTCTTTCAGGAATACACAGTGGATGTCTTCTTCCGTCAAAGCTGGTTGGATGAACGGCTGAAGTTTCATGGACCAATGAACACCCTTCCTCTCAACAATCTGATGGCCAGTAAGATTTGGACCCCTGACACATTCTTTCACAATGGCAAGAAATCTGTGGCCCACAACATGACCATGCCCAACAAACTTCTGCGGATCATGGAGAATGGAACGCTGCTCTACACCATGAGGTACCTGGCTTTTCACCTCTGTTTTTCTATTTGAAGATGTAAGTTACAAGCTTTTCATTAGGGTAGAATTGTCTGGTGTTGGTGGTGAGCTGCTTCTACATTAAATCAGTCTCCTACAACCGTGACACGTATTGCCACGCTTTGTGTTTTGAGATTATTCTTCCCTGGTACATTAATGTGCTAATTCCAAATGTTAAGGGAGATTTGAGAGCACAATGCAACATACAACTTTTCTGTGCAAAATATTTTCAAGAATTGTTTGTCATCTTAGCACTCTGATACAATTTCATCTGGAACAAATTTTAGATTTTTGACTGTGTTCAGATTGAAATTAGTGAAAGTTCATGGTATTTACACTTACAGGTCATTGCTGATGTTGCTCTGCTCTGGCATTGTGTTGCATCCCAAAACTCCTGATTTTGTAGACATAGACACACTCGATTCATTTCATGTGTTGCATTTCTTAAATTCCAACAGTGGACTTAGATTTTTTCTCTGTTTTTTTTTTTTTTTTTTTTAAATTTTGGTGTAGTTTCTGATCCATAAAGCATACATATATTTTATCAAAATGGTTTTCCTTAGTCATATTTTATGCACTAAAAGCACAATCTTGCAGGAAGTATCCCAGTGAGAACGAGTTGTTTGCTCAGACAGACTCCATCTGTTTGCCAAAGGCATCTACTGACCTTAAAGGTGGCAAAGGATCTGGATTCTTTCAGTCTGA